AATCAGAAAGGGTATGTGCCAGGGTTGTATCCTTTAACCATACTTAGTCAATTTCTATGCTGAACAAATAACCTGAGAAGCTGGACTATATGAAGAAGAACATAGTAGCATCAGGACTGGAGGACAACTCATAAATGACCTGTGATACGCAGACACAACTTTGCTTGCTGAAAGTGAAGAGGACTTGAAGCACTTACTGATGATTAAAGACTACAGTCTGCAGTATGGATTACACCTCAACATAAAATGAAAATCCTTACAACGGACAAATAAATGGAGAAAAGATTGAAATTGTCAAAGATTTCCTATTACTTGGGCCCACAATCAGCACCAATGGAAGCAGCAGGCAAGAAATCAGATGTCATATTGCATTGGGCAAATCTTCTGCAAAAGACCTCTTTAAACTGCTGAAGAGCACAGATGTCTCTTTGAAGACTAAGGTGTGCCTAACCCAAGCCATAGTATTTTCAATCACCTTATATGCATGTGAAAGCTGGACAATGAATATGGAAGATCAAAAAAGAGTTGACATTTTTAAGTTGTGGTGTTGGTGAAGAATACTGAAATGAAAGTACCATGGACTGCCAGAAGAAATAACAAATCTGTCCTGGACGAAGTGCAGCCGGAATGCACCTTGGAAGCAAGAATGGCCAGACTTCATCTCACCTACTTTGCTCATGTAACAGGGGCCATTCTCTGGAGAAGATATCATGCTTGGTAAAGTGGAGGGTCAGCAAAAAAGGGGAAGGCCCTCAATGAGATGGATTGACACAATGGCTGCAACGATGGACTCAGGTATAGCAAGGATTATGAGGATGGGGTCGGACTGGGCAGCGTTTTGTTCTGTTGTTCTATGAGCACAATTCACTGTGAGTCAGAGGCGCCTCAGTGGCACCTAACAACAACAATACTGTGTGTTAAACATTGTTGTTGTTATGTGCCATCGAGTCGGACCCAACGCATAGCGTCCCCTCCTTGGGTTTCCGAGGCAGTATCACTGCGGAAGTAGATTGCCCCATCTTCCTTCGGAGGAGTGGCTGGTGGGTTTGAACCGCCAGCCTTCTGGTTAGCAGTCAAGCACCTTAGGCACTATGCTACCAGAGCTCCTATGTTAAACATTAGGGTCATAAATATTTTTTGTCACCTCACATTTTTCACTCGATTTATTATAGATACCTTTTCAATCAAAGCATGCATATCTATAACATCTTTGTTAATAGATGTGCCATAATTAGTAAGTCCTCTACTGGTGAACATTTGGAGTCCCTGGGTGGTACAAACAGTTAAGCACTGGGTTACCGACCAAAAGGTTAGGGATTTGAACCTGTCCAGAGCTACCTCAGAAGAAAGGCCTGGCAATCTGCTTCTGAAAAGTCAGCCATGATATCTGGAAAGAAGGTGTTATGATTGGACCCCTACTTCAGTCATGCTGCACACCAAAAAGGCACACCTTAGGGCACTGGTCCCTGACAAGGCCTAGAGTTTTCTATATCAGCTGAGAAGATGGATACATTGATATCTGGGACCTTCTGGAGAAAACCCATGAACCGGCCTAGTCATGAAATATCTGCATAACAATGATCACCTACATCAAACCCTGGATCCTTTCTGCTAAGCAACAATTTATAACCATAACTGATTATTATATATATTAGTACATAATTCCTTGGACATTAAGTTACCCTTCCTCCAATGAGATGGCAAGTGTTAACTACTACTTTGAAAGAGAAGTCAAGAATCTGGAATATGTGGAGCAGCGCAAAAAAAATTCATGAGCAAGAAAAAGAAACAATGGAGCTGGAGATAGAGAAAAAGAAAATTAGCAGATTACTGACTAACCTTTTCAGGCAGCCTCCCGGAAGTGACATGTGAACAAAAAAGTGAGTGACAAAAAAGGAACTACCCAAGTAAGATCTGGAAAGAACTTCCTAGACAAAGGGAATGCCAAGAGCAAAGACCTTAAGGATAAGAACAAAGTCTAAACATTAGAGGAACTGAAAAAATGTTCAGTGTCACTAGACCACAGGGAGCAAGGGAAATGGCCTAGGAAATGATTTTATCTTTTAAAAAATGATCTTTGCTTCTATGGATAGAATGGGTTGTGGGTATGGAGAGGGAAGAGAAAGAACAAAAAGATGAAACAGGAAGAGACTGAGAGATTATGGTGGTTTGGACAGGGTGCTAGCAGTGACAAAGTGCAGTGTCAGGATATATAGTAGCCAGAACTGTTGATGGGTTGAAAGTGTGTGTGTGTGTGTATGTGTATGTGTGTGTGAAGGACTCCATTTTGGGGCAACTGGGTGGGATGAAGACTAGGGAAGTGTTGTAGACATTTGCCAGTTTGACTTGCTCAGTATCTGAATCCCCTTCTTATATTCATAATATGTACAAATATGTGAGTTTCAGGGAAAGGATGATAGCCAAACTAGCTAATTGTTAATTGCTGATTCCTGGAAGCTGGGGCACAAGTTGTATGGCCCAATTTCAGCAAATCTGATCCTTCAGTGACTTTGAATCAGGAATGATGCAAAGAAGAGATGACTTATTATCAGCTCCAGTGGTGCACGTGGGCTGTGTTTGGTGGTAATGGTGACAGATCATACCTTGATTGCTGTCATTCTGACCATGGAACCCCTTGTGTCTGCTTATTTTCCAAGTTTACTTTTCCAGATTTTCCAGTTTTAATTTACTTTAAACAAAAATTGAAGTATGACTTTACAAAGTACATAAATCATAAGTATGCAGTTGATATGTGAAATCACCACCCAGATCAAGATAGAAAATGTATTCGGCACCCTAAAACAGTTTCCCTCGGATACATTATTTTTCCAATAATTTCCATTTCTGCTTGAGATGGGAGAAGAGAAGAAGTCAGCCATGAAAGCTCTATGGAGCAGAGTTCTGTTCTGATAATCCTAGTCACACCTGGAGTTGGAAAACGACTCAATGACAAGTGGCTATTGTGTGTCTGATGCTCAGATAGGAGTAGGACAGCACCCTCCTACAATAAGAAGGAGTTTCCTTAGGGCAATGGGATCTCCCAAGACTGGGAGCAACCCCTTGCAACTCAGTACTTCCCAAGGTCCATCCCACCATAAGGCCTTGGGGGCTGTGGGGCCCCTTGCATGGGGCTAGAATTTCAAAACCTGCAGGAACAGGCTGTGTGGACCTCTGAGAGGCACATCCCCCAGGGAAGAGAAGCGGCTGCTGAAGGGATCAGCATGGGCTGGCACATGAAGTCTGTTTTCCATGTGTCTGGAATCAGGCCGAAACTTCCTGGAGTAATTTTAACCAGTGTCCACTCTAGAACAATACCAAAAAAGGTAAGTTTCTCACCACACCAAACAGGCACATACCTAACCATTGGCCTTTCATGAATTAGATCCTTAAAACATTCAGACCTAAAGCTGCTTTAAGCACTGAAGGTAGAAGAGTCAAGTGAAGCATTCTTTTACTGGGCTGGTGGCTATTTAATTGAAATTAACTCTAAAGTATTAGCTATTCTTACCCTCAGAAAATAGCCTGAGCCCCTCAGCTGTCTTGGGGAAGCAAGGTATTTTTAGACCCCAGAACAGCTGGTTTAGGATTTGCTGCAGTGGCTAGGAAGGCCAAGGGAGGATTGAATTTCAAGAGGCTGATGGAGTAGGGGGCGTTGGGGGGAGTTTGCCTTTAGGGGTCAAGAGCCAGAATAGTTTGTCTACATTGCCTTTTTTGATCAGCAAAGTGTCTTGATGTAAGGCAATGGTTCTCAGAAGTGTGGCCCCAAAACCAACGGCATCAGAGTCACCTGGGAACCTGTTGGAAATTCAAAGTTTCAGCCCTCATCCAGAACCTATTAAATCAGAGACTCTGGGGGTGGGGCCCAGCAATCTGAGTTTTAACAAGCCCTGTACATGATTGTGATGCTCGCTGCAGTTTGAGAACCATTGATAGCAGCAAACCATCTAACCGGGTCCCTTGAGCATCAGGCCAGATTGAAGAGTAATCCACATCAGTGCTTCTCAACTTCAGCATCTGCTCAAAGCCAGGGATTCTTGGTTCAGAAAAACACACATTCACATGAAAATCTTGGGGCCTCACTGGCCCAGGTTAAAAACTCTTGTTCTTTGGCAACCCACAAGTCCTTCTCTGAGTCTAAGTGTGAAATGCAGAGAAACTCGGAGTTGCAAGAGGGCTTATAGATCCCTTCTGCCACCAGAGCAGGAATCTCCTCCATGATATCTTTGGGAAGCTCAGCTTTAGTTTGCCACCTCCAGAGACAAGATGCTCACTGCTTCAAAAGACTCTGTTTCCAGGATGTGGGAAAAAAATTCAGATTCTTACAGGACCTATTGGGATTGAGGGAACCCCCTAATCTATTACCCTGAGATAATCTTTAAACCTTGAACTGAAATTATTTCAGTGAAGACATCTTTAAACAACAACAGTGTAGCTCAACTAGTAAAGGATGTTCATCTTGAAAAATGCTCTCTTTTAAACAATTATCTGTACTAAACTTGACAACAATAACTTTAAAACACAGAGGAGAAGTTAGAGGGCAGAAAGCCTAAATTAATGGTGGTAAAACCATATGGATGGAGATAGAATGATGACACAATGCAAACAATGTAACCAATGTCATTGAACTGTGCATGTAAAAATGTTGCATGGGTGTATGTTTTGTCATGTATATTTTTACAAAAAATAAAAGGAAATAGAAAGAACCCATTTCCAAAGATCCTTGACTTAATCTAATTAGATACAGTTAGCTCTTGTTAACTTCTATATTGGTTTATACCAGCCAAGTTACAATTGTACGGCTGAACGATAACCTTATAATTTATAACTCTAAGTATGGACCTGTCCTAAATGTAGAAATGAATGCAGTATTTTTAACAGCCTCTATCAGCGTTGGAGTGCTGGAAAATTCTCCCTTGTACTGATGTGAAATCTACCTCCCAGGGACCTACTACCCCCACCTTGGTTTTGGCTTTGGAGCCACAAGGATCAAATCCAAAGGCTTGCTTTACAAAAGACAGCCTTTACTTTTCATTGGCCTGATTGGCACGGGGACGCAGGGAGGACGGTCTCTGGTTGCCCGCTTGGCTCAGGGCCTGGGCACGGACTCTGCCAGCCGGCCAGCCGTCTGGGTTCAGAAGATGCAAGTGCAGCCCACAGCGATGGTCTCCATGACTGCACGCTGGCGGCAGGGCCCGGCGCGCGGCGGCGGCGGGCAGAGGCGGCGGCGCACCGGCACCTGGCTGAACACCGGCACGCTCACCATGCTGCGGTCCTCCTGCATGGTGAAGGGGTTCACGCAGCCCAGGCACAGGCACCGCGCCTCCGGCAGGTCCACAGGGATGCGGCTCGGGTCGTGGTTGATGCTGCAGGGAGGGGGAAGAGAGCACAGCACGGAAATGGATTGGAAAAGATAACATTGGCGCACTCACCACGCCCCCACCCGTTCCTAAGTGAGGTTTGTTGGTTGGTTGTTTTTACCCGTAACCAGAGTTTAAGACGTCCTGGTGGCGTACTGGTTGAGCGCTGGGCTGCTAACTGAACGATCAGCGGAACCCACCAGTGGCTCCAAGGGAGAAAGATGCGGCAGCCAGCTTTGCTTGGAAACCCTATGGGGCAGTTCTGCTCTGCCCTATAGGGTCGCTATGAATCAGAGTCCACTGAGAGCGATTTTTTTTTAATAGGTTTAACTAGAGTTTTGATTCAGCAGCAAGACCATGCTGTAACTGGAAGCGGGGCAGTAATCAACTCCGTGTTTGTGATGAAAAAAAAAAAAAATAGAAGATTGAAGGTCCTGAAAGGCAACCCAATGGTTACCCAGGTTCAGGGTCATCAAGTGGTCAGGAACCAATATTTACCCACCTTCCCTTTTCATCCAAAGTCCATGGGTGGTGCGGTTTTCACGTGAGGAGCTATATGAATCACCTGGGGATCTTGTTAAAATGTAGATTATGATTCAGTCTATCGTGGGGGTGGGGAGAGGAAGAAGGGGAGTGGAAATTCAAACTCTCAGCAAGGGGTCAAACCAGAATGAACTGATTGGAAGCCCTGCTGCTAACCTAAAGGTTGGCCTTTGGAACCCAGTCAGCAGCATTGTGGAAGAAAGGCCTGGCTATCTGCTTCCGTAAAGGTTGGAGGAGTTCTGCTCTATGATACATGGGTTGACAGGAGACAATCAACTGCATAGAGAGGGGTTTGATTTTAGTTCCTTTTTCATCTGGTAAGAGCCCCATCCTAGTACTGCATTGTGCTGTACAGGTCCAGAGAAGCCCTTACTCTGCCTCCCTGACCCTCCCGCTTGTTTAAATTCTTAGGCAACTTAATCCGTGGGAAATAACCACATTGATACCTGATGCCCATTGGAAGAGAAGTTCACGAGTCCTGGGTTCTATTTTGATTCGGTCTCCATTCATTGAGCAAATATTTTTACACGCCCACATTTGACTGATTCCATCCTAGCATTAAGTATTCACTGATGAATAGAACAGACATGTTCCCTCCTGGTGCCTCATGGAACTTCAAATATGGGGACTTTCTTGGTGACCTTTCCTTCTCTATGCCTCAGCTTCCTCGCCTGCTTAATGTGTCTGTGTTGTGGGGTGAACTCAGTCTGTGAACATGGAGTATCAGTATCACCTGGGAGCTTGTTAAAAATGTAGACTCTGATCCCCAAACCTGACCTCCTGACTCAGGGTCTGTATTTTCATAAGATCTCCAGATCTCCATGGTCACCACAAAGAGTGAGAAGTCTGGCTCTGGAGGCTCTTTAAAACCCAAAATCCTACTACCGTCAAGTCAATTCTGACTCATATAGCAACCCTATAGGACAGAGTAGAACTGTCCCACAAGGTTTCTAAGGCTGTAATCTTTATGGAAGAAGAGTGCTACATCTTTCTGCAGAGCAGCTGGTGGGTTCAAACTGCCAATCTTTCAGTTAGCAGCTGAGCACTTAACCACTGCACCACCGGGACTCCTTGGAGGACCTTTATGGCCTTTCCAATTGTCACATTCTAGAGCTGTGCTGACCAATACAGTAACCACTAGCCACATGTGGATATTCAAATTCAAATTAATAAAATTTAGATCCTCAGTCACACTAGCCATGTTTCAATTACTCAATACCCACAGAAGGCTAGTGGCTACTCTATTGAACTCCCCATCATTGCAGAAAGTTCTACTGAACGGTCTCAGGATGTAACCTGTGTGGCTAAGAAATCTTTGGCCAAGGTTTGTCAGGGAGGATGCTTTAGGGTCAGTCCATTTCTTCATTATTCCTTCAACATGTATGCATTTGCCTCTTCTCTGTGCCAAACATTTTGCTAAGAAGTGGAGCTACTGGGTATAACACCACCTCTGCCATCTAGGGGCAGTAGTCTTGATTCCCAAACTGGGTAGGGCATTTGAATCATGTAAAGTATATAAGATACTGCTTTCTGGACCTCCGCACTGGAGATTTATATTGGTGGAGCATGGAAATCTGGATTTTAAAAGCTTCTTAGGTGACTCTGATCCAGGGATTGGGAAGGTCCCAGTCTAGTGTGAGAGATAAACATAAGCACATCCAACTTAATACCACATAGAAAGGCTGTAACAAGTTTGTACAAGTCACCGTGGGAGCTGGAGAAAGTGAGAAGGGATGCTATCAGTCAGATCCGACTCCATGGCAGTGAGTTTGGTTTCTTTGGTTTATCACCTCCTTTTACAGTTCAGGCTCAGAGGGGTCAAGTGACTTGCCTAAAGCAACACAGCTGATAAGAGGTAGAGTCAGTAGTCCAATGCAGCCACTCAAGCCTCTAAATTCAATGTCTTAACTGTTAAAATGACTGAGACTATGAGTAAGGTACCCCTCTCTGGCCCCTCCCAAATAAAAAGCTTGGCCACCGCTGCCCAGCCCAACCTACCTGTAGCCCCAGGGTGACAGGCTCCTCTTGTTGGACAGCCACAGCTGGAGGTTGACTTCACATTTCTTCCTGGCTGGCTCAGAGCTGTTCCTCAGCTGGGCCACCATCTCCCCAAGGTTCCTCTCATACTCCTCCATGCGAGTATATGGCTTCGCCCATGACACCAGGTCCAGAGGCGCCTGGTGAGGCCCAGGGGCCAGGGGCCCAGGTTTCCCTTGCCCCTTCTTCTTGCCTTTGGGGTTTCTAGGCTGGCCCAGCACCAGAAAGATGGAGATGGTAAGAAGGAACAGCTGGGGAGGAAGACCATAAGTCAAAGGTGAGAGAGATAGGTCTCTCTTGACTGAGACTCAGGGCCCAGAGAGGTGAGATGGAAGAGGAAAGGTCTCTATGTTGACCACTCTCACTTGCCATGCCCTGGCCAGGGCCCACTGGGCCATAACCCATGTATATCGACACTTGCACCAGGCTTTGTAACTGGCATCAAGGACACAACAGTGACACTTCCCTCTCTCTTCCTCCACATCCAGTTCATCGCTAAGGTACTATGTTGTTGTTGTTATGTGCCGTCGAGTCGGACCCTACTCATAGCAACCCCTCCTTGGGTTTCCAAGGCAGTATCACTACAGAAGTAGATTGTCCCATCTTCCTTCCGAGGAGTGGCTGGTGGGTTTGAACCACCAGCTTTTGGTTAGCAGTCAAGTGCCTTAGGCACTATGCTACCAGAGCTCCCAAGGTACTATGGTACCTCCTAAAAATCTCCCCACTCATTCACTTCTCTCCATCTCCTCCACCTTCCTTACTTCCCTAGACAGTTCAACAGCTTCCTACCTGATCTCCCAAAATCTACTCTAGCTTCTTCCAATCAGTTCTGCACACCATGGCCAAGGACAGCTATTTGAAATGCAAGTTAGATGATGTCACCCTCTTGCTTAACACCCTTCGATGACTTCCCGTTGCCTTCAAATAACAATTTCTCTACTCAGGGTTCCCAGTCCTTGTCTTCTTGCTCCTGCTGAGCTCTCTCTCCTCACCTCACTCCCTCCCTCTCTCATACCTGTTCTTCAGTGTCTGGCCTTCTCTCAATCCCTTACTCTCACTCACCATGTTCCTTCCTGCCACAGGGACTTTGCACATGCCTCTGTCTGCAGCATTCTGCTTCCCCCTCCTACCTTCTAGGAGCTCTGGTGGCATAGTGCCTAAGGCATTTGACTGCTAACCAGAAGGCTGGTGGTTCAAACCCACCAGTCACTCCTCGGAAGGAAACCAAAGAAGAACCAAACTCACTGCCATGGAGTTGGATCCAACTCGTAACGACCCCTCCTTGGGTTTCCAAGGTGGTATCATTATGGAAGTAGATTGCCCAACCTTCCTTCCGAGGAGTGGCTGGTGGGTTTGAACCGCCAGCCTTCTGGTTAGCAGTCAAATGCCTTAGGCACTACACCACCAGAGCTCCTACTCAGAAGAAAGTTTAGGCAATCTGCTTCTGTAGGGATACCAACTCAGAAACCCAAGGAGGGGTTGCTATGAGTCAGATCCGACTCTATGGCAGTAAGTTTGGTTGGTTTTAGTTTTCCCACCTTCTAAGTGCCTGTTAATTACTCATGTCTCAGCTCTCGTATTAATTCCTTAGGGTTGCCTTCATGGGCCTTCTTGGGCTCTCATAACACCTCTCTTACATGACTGTAGCTTTACAGTTTCTACATGTATTTTATCTGGGTGTCCTCCACTAAGCCACATGAGGGCAGGCATTGCGTGTATCACCAGTGTCTACATGCTAGGACCCCTGGTGGCACAGTGTTTAAATGCTCAGCTGCTAACAAAAAGGTCGGCAGTTCAAATCTCCCAGCTATGCCATGGAAGAAAGATGTGGCAGTCTGCTTCCATAAAGATTTACAGCCTTGGAAACCCCATGGAGGCAGTCTTACTCTGTCCTCTAGGATCATTCTGAGTCAGTATCAACTCAATAGCAATGGTTTTGTGTTTGGGTTTTTTTTTTTTTTTTTTTTGGCAGATGGTGTAGGGGGTAGTCTATATGGTGCAGGGCACTTAGATACTTAGTAAACATTTGCTGAGTGAATGAATGACTATCACTATCCCTGTCCTTCTGCAGCTTATAGTCTGGGTGGGAAAACAGACAGCAAACAAGAAAACAAACACATAACTCCAACTAGTAACCAGTGCAATGAGGGAACCATGCAATGAGGGGTGTAGTTAGAGGATAGCTATACCCCCTGCTTACTCTTGTGGTAGTGGAGTCGTCCAGGAAAGGCTTTCTGAAGAGGGACATGTCAGGTAAAGTTTAAAGGATGAGAAGGAGGCAGACTTCAGACTCACTCTTCAAACAGAGTGAGTCTGAAAGTCTTACAGACCAAGGGAACAATGGGAGAGGCGATTGGAGTTGGTGAAAAGTTTTGCTGAAAGGAAACAAGTGTGGGTGAAATACAGTGTGTGGGAGAAGTGGTATGAGATGAAGTTGAGAAGGTAGGCAGGTCGCGGGGACGAAACTAATTTCTTGGACTCATCTCCATGACACCTGTCCTCCTCTTCCTCCCTGTCTCCCTTCCCCCATCCCTGGCCCTCTGCCTATCCCATCCCCGGTCCACTCCTCACCTACTCACACCACCCTCACCCACTGCCATCCTGCTTCTGCCTTCCCAGACCCTGGAGCCTCAGGGAAGCCTCTGGCTCCCATAGTGGCTGACTCAGGGGCCGAGCAGAACCTAGACTCTTCAGGAAGCTGGGAGGGAAAGGCCAGGACTGGACATGGGCAGGAGCCAGAGCTGGTCAGAACAGAGGAGCCTCTAAGTAAGCTTTATCTCCCACAAAATCTCTTCAGGCTCCGTACCTGCACCGTATCCGGCATGGCCCGTGCCTGATATTTCCAGGCTCCGCAATAGGTCTTGAACCTTGAAAACAAGTTCCAGCATTGCCCCTCTTGGCAGAGCCACTACCTGGCACAAAATCAGTGACAGCAATTCAAGTCACTAAATTCTTCCTTTTTGGTCCTAGATTCTGGTGCACAAAAATGTCTCACTAACAATAGGCTTTCTCTTCTGAGATTCTCACGTGATGTTCTTAAACTCTGGCTCTCTGCTCTGAGAAACCCAGAATAGAATCAAAGTTCCCCACCCTCACTTTGCAGCAGGAAACAGAAACAGAAGGACTTGCCCAAGGTCACACAACCCAGATCCCAGGACCCATCTCCCCTGTTGCCTCTGGTCTGACAGATAGGGCTTGTGTGGACAGGCTGGGCCCAGGTCAGAAGCCTGAGCTACTGCCCGAAGCAGCAGGCCCTGAGGCCGTCTGTTTCTTCCTTGTCCTGTGGAGAGGGCAGAGGGAGAACTTACCCCTGCAGAATGCAGGCCAAAACAGAGGCAGCCATTAATCAATATGAAAGAAAACAAAACACTCAGGCCCTCAGAAGGCATGGGGACAGGGGGTGGGGGGTGGGGGTGGGGAAGTGCCACGTACCAGGTTGTGCGGCCAATCCATCCCCCTGAGCCAGGCCGCCAGTCAGTCGGCCTGCAGCTGCTGCCCGCCTGGAACCCCAGATGCCTGCGCCGAGGAGAGAATGGCAGCAACAGGATGGAGTGAAGCAATTATAGCTCGACAGGGGGTTGCTGGGGGAGTGGGTGGGTGGGCTCATCGTGGACTGGGAGCCCTTGGCCCCCAGCTGGCTGGGCCTGGCTCAGTGGCAGGCGGTAAGGGGCGTGGGGGCAGGCCAGGAACCGGGCTGAGGTGCCCAGGGGCTGTTGACCAAGGGACAATGCCCTGTGTGTCTGGCAGGACTCTAGCGGGTGGCACCTCCGCCTGTGGCCTGCGGCTGGCCGCCCAGCCAGCACCCACAGAGCCAGCTAAGACAATCAGCTTCGTTTGCTTTGGGGATGGCAAGAGGGTGAGGGTGGAGGAGGGACGGACTGTCGGGTGGTCAGAAGAGCAAATGTTCTCGGAGTGCGCCGGCCAGCAGCAAGGCACGGGCTCATCTTCCAGGAAGCAGGCTCAGGCACTCCAGTCTTGGCCAGCCTCAGGTGAGCCCAACAGCCCTTGGAGACCAGAGTCCCACCCTTCTAGTTCACAGGCGAGGAAACTGAGGCCTCGCTGAGGAGAGCACTTGTCCAGAGTTACACAGTGAGTTAAAGATGAGAAAGCTGGGATTTGTGCTCTGTCCACCACCCACCACCCTGTTTTTCTTGGAATTTTTTCTGCTCCATTACAGCCTGCTCTGGACATGTTTCTGAATCCTTGTGTTCTCACATGGGCCAGGTTGCTGACCCATGAGGACTTCATGGCCCATTTTTCTGACCTTCCTGGTGCAGTGCTCACCCTCGTGTATAAAGTGTCTCCATTTCCAAAATCTGCTTTTGTGTGGCTGCTTGTGACCTTCATTCTCCCTCTGCCCCAATTTTCTTCTCTATAAATTGGGAGTCATGCCTAGGAACAGATAGTGGCCTGGGCTATTTCTCCCAGAAGTCTTTCTGAGCCTCAGTTCCAACATCTCTTGAACGGGGATAATCCTAGCATCTACCTCTTGGAGCTCTTAGGAGGAGCAAAGGAAACAACTCATGCTCAACAGCTGACACTGTGTCTCTGGCACATAGTAAGTGTTCCAAAAAAAAAAAAAAAAAACCAAACTTGGAAGTGTTTGCACAGGGAGACAGCTTAGGAGATGGGAGTGCATGGGAGGGAAGGACACAGGGAAGAAGTAACTACAGGGAGGAAGTAAGAAGAGAGCTGTTACATTGTAAGGAATTGCAGTCAATGTCATGAGACAAAATGCATATGAACTGCTATATGGAAAGTTTGCTCTGTAAACTTTCACCCAAATCACAATACAAATAAATAAATAAACAAACCAAACTCACTTCCATCAAGCCGATTCCAACATAAATCTTTACAGAACCCATCTGCTTTCGAAAGTGCAGCTGGTGGGTTTGAACTGCCAACGTTCTGATTAGCAGTCAAATGCCTAAGGCACACTGTACCACCAGAGCTCCTCGGTAAGTGTACAGGGAACATTAAACCAACAAACCAAACCAGTTCCTATCAAGTCTTCCAACTCACAGCAACGCCATGTGTTTCAGAGTAGAACTGTGGTCCATAGGGTTTTCATAGGATTGCAACCTTTTGGAAGCATCACCAGGCCTTTCTTCTGAGAAGCTAGGTGGGTTTGAACCACTAACTTTTGGGTTAGAAGTCCCTTCACTCTGCACAGTGGTTCTCACCACTGAGCCAACTCTCCTTCTACCCTCGGCACACAGTTCCTTGGGCACAGTTACTGGGACAGCTCTAGACTTCACAGGCTCAGCCCAAAACTTGGTGAGTTCAAATGACCCCAAGGCCCATAAGTCCTGAATCTCATACTGCATTGACCTCCCCACTGGCCATGGTCTCTCACCTCACAGCCCAGCTGACCATGAGCTTTGGAATCCACCCATGGAGGAGCGTGGGTGGGAGGTTGCTTGAAAGAGGACAGCGAGGGGCGGGGGGGGGGGCACTAGAAACAGACATCCAGTCCCAAACCATCTTGCTGAGGCCACTCTTGGCCATTTACAGGAATGGGCTGAGGGGAAGAACGCGGGCAAGAGGCGCTCCTGAATGTCACAAGATTAATCTGTCCAGGGCAGGTTTCCACAGAATAACTGAGAAGCTGGCTGGGGCACTAGCTCTGAGAGATACCACCATATTTGGTCAAATGCTAGACAGGGCTCTATTCTATCGGTGGAAACTCCAGAGGGAGGGGGACTCTGAAAATACCTCCTCAGGCAACAAGGGCCCCCATCCCCACCCCAGACTGTCCCAGCCCCACCTCCACTGTCCTTTGCACAAATGAAACAACCAAGATAAGGGGGCAAAAGATGGGGACAGATAGCTTTATTGTGTGCAGGCTTCTTGCTATCCCTCTGCTGCTGCTGCTTGCAGGCTCTGACAGACATGCAGCTGGGGGACCACTCCCCACATATGCAGAAAGGTGAGGAAAATGAAAGGAGGGTATTGGGGTACCAGGGAAATCCTCTGCTTCTCAGGATCCCAGAAACCGCCATACTTTCCTTGCCTGCAGGCAATACACATCCACCACTTCTGTCTCCCAAAGACAGGACTTAACCTCCCAACTCCCAGCTTCACTGATTGTTAATGTAGATCCTAGAGTCACAGCCCAGAAGATTCTGATTTGGCAGGCATTGTAAAAAGAACCCAGTCTCAGAACTAGAGGATCTAGAACTGAGAACCTCACACATCACCTAACTAGCTGCCTCCCATTCAACTGTTACCAGACTAAGTCTCCCAGATGTTTCCACCAGAGCTGGGATCAGAGCTCACTCTCCTAATTCTTAATTCACTCTTCCCCAAAATTTTATGCAAACACACTGGGCCAGGCTGGGCCTCCTTGCCTGGAGGGGATCCACAAGCAAGACTAGTCCTTCTGGGGACCTCTGATCCCTCACAATGGGGAAGGGGAGCTGTGGCGTTCCTAGGCAGGTGCTGTGAGGAGTCAGGCCTGGGCCTGGCAGCCATTACTGGGTCTCCCAACCCTGGATCCTGTCAGAAGGATCCCTGATGGCACAGTGGTTAAGAACTCAGTTACTAACTGAAAGGTTGGTGGCTCAAATTCACCAGCTGCTTCTCAAGAAAGATGTGGCAGTCTGCTTCCATAAAGATTACAGTCTTGGGGCAGTTCTACTCTGTCCTATAGGGTCACTATGAGTGGAAATCAACTCTACAGCAATGGGTTTGTTTTTTTGGTTGGTTGGGTCTTCTCAGACCAGGAAGGAGTCCCCTTCCTCCAGTCTCAGCTTCTAGAAACCAACTAGGAATCATCTGCCCTCAGAGGTGTTGTAAGTGTGAACCAAGAGATACCATGAGACCTACCCTCCGGGGTCAGCATCAGGCCTGAGAGAAAGGAGTAGGAACTTGGGCTCCAGTGCAAACTTGGGATGGGGGCCTTGAGTCTCTAAGAAAAGGAGGTGTTAGGTACACATGAGTGAATGAACATGGGGTTGGCTAGAGAATGAGGGGCAGTAGGTAGTCCTGCCCAGAGCACCAGAGCCCACAGCTGCAGGCCTTGCCAGGAGAAGTGCTGTACTCACCACCAGGTGGTGCCACCAGAAAGCCAGACATCCCTAAGAGTGTGGCAAACCCTGATCTCTGTGCCAGCATTCTGTTTCTTCAGGAATGGACTCTGGGGCTGAGAATGAGGGGCCAGGGTGAGTGGTTACAGATCCTTGTGCCTGCCCTTGCTTACTGAGAGGCCCAGTTGTAGATGAGGACCAATACCTAGATGCTTTCCACATCAGAGCCTTTATTGAAGCTCCTAGGAATGGCATAGCCAGCCGGGGTTGGGAATGCTTCTGTCTGGGTACTGAGTGATTTGCTTTACTTTAAGCACCTACTATGTGCAATTCCCTAGGCATTTTTTGCCTGGACACTGTAATTCTTGGAAGCTGCTGCTTAGCATCTGCTTACTAGTGCCAGGTGCTGTGCTAAGTCCTTCACCTGCATTGTTTCATTCAGTCCTCTCAACGATCCTGTGGTGAAGCTGTGATTTTATCCTGAATTTGTGGATGGGGAACTTGAGGCTCAGAGAGCTTAGTCACTTGCTCAAAATCACAGGGAATTGAAACCAAGTTTTTCTGACTCCTCCACTTGCTGCCCCCTGCAGGGGGTGAGGAGAGGAACACTGCTGTCCAGTTGGCCAGTGGGTCATGAACTAGAGTCTGTGCTTGCCTCAGCCTTGTCCCGCCAGCCTGAAACACTCTGGACCCTGCGTGTTCATTAGCTCACTGAGTTCAAGCCCAAATTACAGTCCTCAGTGTGGATCTGAGGTCTGGAAGGGGCTGTTGTATCTTGAGCATGTTTTAAGTCTCCTGCTGGGCTGGGCTACACAAAGCTCATAGGCTGTGGGCACGGCACCCAGCAGCATTCCTGGCACATAATAGGCACTCACTAGATATCAGCTGCATTGAATCACACTAGCTGTATTGTAGAGCAGTGACGCTGTGATGGAGAATGGGCAATGGGCACCCAGAGGAGGTCTGCAGTCCAGGCAAGAAGAATTCAGACTCCAGAGGTTGACAGGCCTGAGTTTCAATCCTGTCCCTGCCATTTCACAGATGTGTGACCTTGGGGAAGGGGAAGTTACTTGACGCCTCTGAACCTTATTTCTTCTGCACAGTGGAGATACTAATAACTTGGCTCTCAGTGCTTTATTGTGAAGATCAAATGAGAGAATGCATGGGAAAGCATTTAGCAGGGTGCCTGGCAAAAAGTAAGTGCTCAATTAATGGTGGCTACAATGAATAAGGAAGACTGAAGAAGAGTTGATGCTTTTGAGTTGTGGTGTTGGCAAAGAATACTGAAAGTACCATGGACTGCCAAAAGAACTAACAAATCTATCCTGGAAGGACAATTGGAATGCTCCTTGGAAGCGAGAATGGCCAGACTTCATCTCACCTACTTTGGTCATGTTGTCAGAAAGGACCGTTCCCTGGAGAAGGATATCATGCGTGGTAGAGAGGAGGGTCAGCAAAAAAGGGAAGGCCCTCAATGAGATGG